CCAGTTATTAATATATCCCAGCCATGTGCCCCGCTGCACCAGAACACCTCCCTGTTAACTCCTACCTGGAGACAGCAGCTGGAAGCCTAGGGTTATCTGAACAACAAAAACTAAATTCAGAAACAAGATTACAGGCTTTTTTTCTCCAGCTTCAGCACAGTTTGGAAGGTATTTGGCCAATGTTCCCCCAACCAGTCTCTCAAACTCGGCCACATGCCAGTTTTTGGAAGTAATTCACGCACCCAGGAGTAACAGTGGGCTCACATTAGAAGGTCAAGGGCACCCTGAGATGTTTCAAAGATGCACATCATGATCACACTTTGTACCCGTAGCTACCCTGCCCAACACAAACATGGAGCCCACAAACAAGAATGCCTCTCCAGCCCCTCTGCCCTCTACCTGTGCAGTAGAAGGGCTGTGTGCACCACAGACTCAGGGACCCCTGGCCAACCCTTCTTCCTGGATTTGGTTTCTTTCCGCTCGTTGTCCCAAAGGGGTTTCCTTTTACATTTCTGTATTTGTTTTATCTTAAATGCTAATGGAAAAGTCAGGGGGAGTATCAGAAACAAGACTCTCAGCATTTAACAGCTTCCCAGATGCTGGGTTGGGCTGTACCGTTTTGTACAAATCCTTCTGACACCTGGTCATTGGGAACACCAAACCTACTGCCAGCCCAGCCCAGAAAAGGACCATCTCTCATTCACCTCTTCATTCCCATACAACAAAGGCTGCAGTAGTTTGCTGCCTTCCCTAAATCTAGAGCACACAGGAGAAAGGAACAAGACTTGATTTTAAGTGCAACAGCAAAAGTGCTTCTGAAATGCAGTGGCAGGAGAAACAAGGACCCAGCAGCGCCTCTGTGCATGGGGGATTGGGGCTCTGCCTGCCCAGTCACTCTGCAACCAGCCTATACAAAATAATTTCTCTCCCCAGAAAAGGGCTTGGCACAAGTTACATCTTCTAAGAGATTCAGGAAGTGTCTTTAATAAGAAAAAAGTAAGAGCATCTTATCTAGGAAGAAACCGAATAGCGGAAACACTGCAGAAGAATTATGGGCTATGTCCTGTCCCAGCTCCAATTCCTCAAAACAGCTGAGCAATTTCCCCAAAGCACTGCTTGGCTAGCACAGACCCCAGCATGGAAAACTTCAGCCTCAAAGGGCAAAAGAGGTGAAAATTTGAATTTAATAAACGGGATTGAACATTTATGCAGTCTTAATGTCACTATTAATTCTATTAATGTTATTAATCCCTGAGAGAGGGAAGGGGAGGGCACTAACTTGTGAAGATAAGGCACAGGAAATTTTATTTTAAAAAACGGGGGGTGGGATCTTTAAAGCCCTGACTGCTATAACTGCTTCTGTGGCATGAGATGTCATCACAGTGGCTTTCCCATGACTGTCATTGTCAGAGAGGGAGACGCTCACTCGGCCAGAGAACCTCATCTACTAATTTCTCAATGAATCCCATAAATGTATCGGAGATGATACTGGAAAAAACAGCAAATCTTCACCTCTAAAATCATTTAGCAACAGTGAATCCAACAAGTCACAAAGTGGTTTTTAATTTATCAGAAAATCATTTCCCTTACTGCTGAAAATACATACCTTACTGCTACGCTGGGATCAGGCTAGTGGTTTAAATTACATCAGGAGAGACCTCCAGGAGCATACGTAGCTGTACTGTAAGCAAATATTTAGACAGGATATATAAGATATGGGACTCCAAAGCTCCCAAGTTCTCCCAATGCCTGCAAACCAAACACATGCAGGAGGATCTGACGCTGTCACATTACGCATTAGGAGCCGAAATGACTCCTGGTCAGCCCTCTGGGGATGGATAATCAGCAGCTTGTTCCATGCTCCCGATTAAGAGGAGATAATCCATTTCTGTATGGCTTTGGTGTCAGATCAGAGCAATTCTGGCAACAGTTCCAACAGCACACAGCGCTCCAGCAACAGCTGATGCAAACACTCCAGAAGCCACAGGGCATCCCAGCCTCCATCCAAAGGACATGCCGCCACTTCGACTGTCCTTCTGCAGCAACAACTGCTTCAAAGGTCAAGCACATAACGGAGGCAGTACAGGTTTGCCTCTCAGACCTGAATGTCAAGGTTGAGAGATTAGCAGCCAAAGAACCCACAACAAAGATTTCCAAAAGGCTGGAGGACAGGGTTTGCTGCTTGGGCTGCATCCTGGAGTGGCCATTTGCAGCATGGGGATGTGTCACTCTGCAAGAGAAGCGTCCATTCCACTTGCTGGAGTGAATTTTGTCTCTGTGATAACTCATCTTGCCTGTTCAGTCACTCTGCACAGATGTAGCACAGAGGATTTCATGTGAAACAGAGGAAGGTGCACAGCTCCTATTTGTCGCTTCATTTTCATTTGAAAGGATTTAGCTATGAGTAATGAGGAAGCCCTGAAGAGCTGCAAATGGTAAAATCAGAGCATGGGTCCATGCAGAGGAAGAGCTCTGGAAGGGATCGTGTCCTCTTCCAGTCTCATTCCTAGAGATCAGGATAAATATATGGCTCTCAATTGTCTCTCCTTCCTGTAGTAGTTTGGGCACGTAACATCAAAAAGTGTGCAATGAACTATGTTAGACAAGGAGAACTCAAATGTGCAAGGCAGAACTGACCACAGCTGACCTGATGACCAAGCAGTGGGACAAAAGGAAGGAAAACAGCACCCCACAAGCAGACGAACACTCAACAGCAGGCTCTTAAACAAACAAAACACAGCAGTCTAGGGTATGGAACTCCAAAATTTTTGCAGAAGAGTCTGAGAACCTCAGAGGGGAGACTCTTCAACCTGCCCCAGCCACCAGCAGGAGCACTGCTGAAGGTATGCCTCCAGGTGACTGGGCTGGAGGGAGAGAAGCAGTCATGATTAAAAGTCTTCCAAGAGGTAAATGATGGAGGGTGGTAATCAGTTCATCTCTGCTTCCACTCCAGGTAAGATTAAAAAAATCCCTAAATCAGCTTTGTCTGCAGCAAATGAAGATTTAGATCTGATATTAGCAAACACTCAAAGACAGAGCCATTAGGCTTTGGGACAGGCTGAGGAGATTGCTAATTCTCCTTCATTAGTTTTGTACGAGGCAGAGAAACACCCTTCAGAGACAGGCTGGGCACAGTAAATCCAGTTTTCAGGAATAGCTGAACACCACCATCCCCTTCCAGACTTGCCGGTCAAGGACTCTGCAGGCTAAAATGGGAGTGAGACCAGAACAGGGGACACTGCAAGTGTCTGACAGGAGAAACACAGCACAAACAGAACAAGCTTGTACAGGGCTCCCTCCCAAAGCTCACCTATTTTGAAGCCTTGTGCTTCAACAGGTATCCAGCCCAGCTTAGCTTAATATCTCCCTGCCCTCACACAGCCCTGAAGCCATTTCTCATCCCACAAACAGGCAGATGCACCTTGCAGTATGTCTGCTCCATGTCAGGGATGCTAATGCAGGGAACTGTGCATGCTCTTTGTTTTCAATGCAGCATTTCAAAAAGCTTCGTCGTTCATTTAAGGTGAAGCAGATGCTGTTCCTCTGGTCTCTTTGAAAGGGCTTATCTATGGGCTGGATTTCATTAAGTGTCTTGTTCTGCATTTAATAAGCTTGCAAGTCTAGACACTTTGGTTCTCCCTCTATCACCCCTTGGTGTACCAGCAGGTAGAGACAACAGAGGTTAAGAGGGAAATATTTAGCTAGCAGATTTAGATGCTATCAAGATGACTGCGTAATTCCACTTTGACTCACTGCAATACCCAGGGATTTTTTCCCTCACCCCAGTGCCAATCCCTTTCGAAAGAAAGAGGTTGCTACCTGCTGCAGTAGCGTAGGGGAGGTTGCTAGGAGGTTTAGGGCACAAAGTCTGGGATATTCATAGAAAACTCACATGGAACCAATGATTAAACAAGGGAGAAAAAGGTCCAGAGGAGTTGCGTGGTAGAATCACCCTCTACTACCAGATGGTGATATACAAGCAGAACAACTATCTGAGCAACCCAGTCCACTCGACTCATCATACATTTCCATGTGCAACTGGTTGTCATCTCATTGCCCCAGCCAACAAGAACAACCCAAGCAGCAGCCTGATACCTTGCTCCTCCCTCCAGGGGATGCCCAGGCGCAGGGGCTGCAGCGTCCAGGAGCGCTGAGGCGCCTGCAGAGTCCTGCAGGAACTGACCAAGAGCTCAGCAGCAAACCAAGAGACGCTGCTTGGATCTCAGATGGGTGCTGTGCCTGATGTCTGGGCATCGACTGCAGCTGTTTGCAAGAGGTGGTCTCAAAAGAAAGGCACTGGGCTGCAAGGCGGGCAGTGCTGGAAGGCTGTGTGCCAGTTGCCTGCTAAGGGAGCTTCTTCCTGCAGCTCCCATGAGCCAGGCATGCCCTATGGAGGCCCAGTCTGACAGGACACACTGTGCACCCGAGGGCAATGCCGAGACCAGTCATTTGCTTATCTGTCAGCAGTTCACATCACTGCAGCGATGGGAACTCAGCCGAGACTTGTTCATTTTGGTTCTGACCCTGCATCACACTTGAACCCTCGGCCTCCACACAAAACCAGCTCTGTGTTTATCTGTTGCTCTGCTTAGCCCCAAAGGCTAGAAGTAAGATGGATACAAATCCTGTGGGTTCACAACATGTTGGGAAATATCAGCATTGTTGTGTATCGGGGCTGCAAGATGTGCACATTACAATTACACGCGCTGTGGGGATGTACCAACAAAACTAACTGCAATCTTACATTAGAGTAAAATGGCTTTTCGAAAGATTAATCAGAAAGAAAGATCTCTCTCTTTGAGAAGCAAGCAGCCATAATCAGCAAATATTTCTCTCTCACGGGATTGCAAAACAAGGCATGCTCTGCCCTCTGAGCCACGAGTCATGAACTTTCCCAGCAAAGGGGGAGATAGAGCAGAACGACTGCACAGAAAACAACAGGATGGGGATTTTTTATATTTTTATCCTAAGGAGAGCAAGTTCAAGGTCTCTGCACTCACCATCAAACTTCTTGTATCGAGAACTAAACATGGTTTGTAGGTGATTGCTAAGCTCTACAACAGCATTTCTGAAGTCATGTTTACTCTGCTGACTGTACTTCTCCTCCATTTCTTGAGAGCAGCATGTGTAGCCTTGCGAGCAGACTTTCAAGTGGTCACCTGAAAAACAGAGAAGAAAATATCCCAAGTTAAAAGGATTCTCTACACACGGGCAAAGAGGTCAGCTCACAAGGCAGAGGGTGCAAGGACCAGTAACACCATCTCTCCCAGGGAAACCCCAGCTGCAAGTGCTGGACCAGGCATATCAAAACTTGATTCCGTAGAGGAAATTTATAGCAACACATGGAAAAGCCTTGTCTTTCTGCAAGAACATTAAAAAGTGTCCTCTTACTTATTCAGTTAATAAACAGAATAAACAGCATTAAAAAGTGTCCTCTTATTTATTCAGGTAATAAACGTAATAAACAGATACTCATCCCGTACAGTAGAATTTGAAGAACCAGAAAACTGACCAATATATACTATGATAACTTCCATGAAGTTTTTGCTGAGTATTTGAATTACTTTCCATTCATTCAGTTAATACACAACATCAGTGGCAATGGCCCTTTTTTTACAGGTAAGTGCTGTTTTCTTCACCCTTCTCCTGTCCAGTTTTCAGAGGAGATCCCTCTCAGCAGCCCAATTACCACTTGATATTAAAATATACTTGTTTTATGGAATGGCCCAGGAAAATGCTTTATATTTCCCACCTCCTAATTTTACAGTTTTCTGTTATCATCTGGGGTGAAACTGGGGGGTTGTTTTTGGAAACTTAAACCAGATTTTTTTTTCTTCAATCTGAAAGATAATTCTTTCCTAGGAGTCATCTGGCTCAAGCTGGCTTAATCAGAGGGATCATCAAATGCTTCAGTATCTTCCACAGGTCCATTTCAAAATCCTTCAGAAAATCTGGACATGGGATCTGGCCCCATATACTTTGTTTTTAGATGCCTCACAGCAGTGCAAGATGAAGCTGTCCCTTTCCAGTATCACCCATAAAATGCTGCTCTCAAGTTTTGTGGGCCAAGATAAACCCTTGGTACAGCAATCCTCAGATCCAGTTTTCTGACAAGCCCCACAATGCAGCACCACCACAGGCAGGTGGGCTGATGCTAAAGTGGTTCAAATTTGGGCAAATTGTGCAAATCTTTGTCAACACTGAAGATACGATCAAAACAAGCAGTTAGGATGAGAAACTCACCCTTCCAAGTCAGATGGTATTTTAAAAGACACATCCTACATGTAAGCTGCTGCCTTCTCTCCCATTTCACACTCTGCTGACAAACCTTATCCTTCATTCTGAGGAAGCAGATGGAGACAAGAAGGCTCTTCCCTACCTGCTCACACACTGGAAGCTACCAACGACCTCCAACTATCATGGAGGTTCAGAGACTCCCTGCCAGAGTTGCAAAGCACTTGTCAGCCCCCATGCAGAAAACAACCTCTTCTTGACAGGCTGCACACCACTCACTTACCCAGGAGCCATCCATCCTACCTGCTAGAGTATCAGAAGTGAGTTTAAAGAAACAAAAGCAGTTTTTGCACAGTGCAAAACAAAGCCTGCCCGTGGCTAATGTGAGTGGTTGATGCTCTGCCTGCCTTGTACAAGATTTCTGAACATCTTTTGCCCACATGTTGAACCTCTGTATCACTTTGCATAACTTTCTAGCCCAGAAAAGTTAGTGTCTCTCCTTACAGGCACTTAAGGACCATCTTAAAATAAGATATAAATATTTTTATATCTGTCTATATACATATATAAGAACCTCTCCTCCTGAATCTACTTCCCTGTTGCACTACAGGGTTTGTTTGTTTTCTGTGGCATTACAGAGAGACCTTGACCAGCAGATAATTCCATCACATCTAATTTATTGCACAAGACCATCCACTACTCTTCAATTACGGAAAGCTCAAAGTCTGCTACGGGAAGCAGCATTGCTTAGGCAGCCTTCAGAAAACACAGAAAAATCCTGTTGTCTCCCTACAGATATATTTTTCTTCCATGGACAATTTCACTCTGTCTCAGAGGAGCACTTCCAGCAGCAAATACACAGCACTAAGGGGTGCAGCACTAAGGGATGCAGCTCCAGTGAGGCTTCACAAGCCTTTTAAAAGAGAGGAACAGGCACATCCAGATTTTCAGATCCTGCCCAGTAAATCCATCCTGGACACCCCTCTCTGAGCCTGTCTTACCAGAAAGCATTTTAAAAAAAATGGTGCCCAAGCACCACTGCTTTATTTCACTTTGAATCTCTTTGCTCCAATTCCAAGACAGAACTAAGGACTCCGACACAACAGGAACCATAAATAGCAGCAAAGCAAATTCAAACCTACTGACAGTGGGATTTCTTTTCCTGCTTACACTTCGCAGACACTTCTGAAGTTGTCCACAGATGCCCTAGGATCCCTAAGACAGTGGCTTTAACAACTTCTCCAATTTATTTATGATTAAAAAAACCCTAAAAGCCCAATGTATTTTACGAGTACGAGTTTTACATCTATTTTTACTAGCAAACTAAAGTTACCATTCCACCTAATGTCACAAAGCAAAATCATTTTCTGATCCCCCTTGTCCCAGATTTGACAGTGCCTCCCCAGGACACGTGCAAAGCCAAGCAAGGAGAACACTACTGATGGTAAATCAAGCTTGCACAGATCCCACTTGGTTGATCATTAAGAAATTATGCTCCAAAATGCAATTCAGACATTCAAAAATGAATGACCAAGCAATCTAATTATGGAAGATATTTCTCAGTCATGTCAGCACTATGTGGTCTTGGCTTGTGATCAAGAATTAGCTCTGTCTGGAGCTGAGGAGCTCTGGCTACTCAGTGCTAATCATATGAGGATGCACTGTGCTACCCAGCACTAAAAAACCAGAAAGTTTAGGTCTGTGGGCTGCTTTTCTAGCAGTTTTCTTACAACACAGTGGGAGATGCCAATGGAGAGTCCCTAGAAGACACTGGGGGCCCCAGTTTTCCCACAGGGAGGTTTGTCCTTAGCGCTGCCACATCCCTGAGAATACATCCTCGCTTGAGCAAACTGACAGGCACTGACACAGTTGGTGAGAAATCTCCTGTCTAGCCTTTTAAATCGCTAGCAGAGCTAATCCATTCAGGATCCATCCACAGGACTCATCCCATTCCCAAGTTTGTAAGGAGAACGACGCAACATCCCAATGTCCCATCACATGCTTGGGTGTTGGATCCATCACGTGCCCCTTTGGTGAGTGGCTGCGGTGTCGGGAACTGCTCGCACCTCCATGGGCAGAGGACCAGGATATCATCAGGCAACAGCTTCCAAACACAACAGTGCTACAACCAGGGAAATGGAAGCAATGAAGCCTGGAGAGCCATTGCTGCCAATGGTCCACATGAGCATGGACCAGTCATGCACACACAAACACCGACCTAGAGTCAAGATCAAAGCCAATGCTCCTTGTCCAACTGGCAGTGAACTCCTCTAAGGAAAAGGAGTGAAAAATATGTGTATTTAGGCATACTTAACAGAGATCTAATGCTTAGGTATATTATGCAGAGAACACTCATGGTGTGTGCTCGCTGTCAAGGACACATTCAGCAATAATTATTTCCCGAGTTAAAACTCATCAAACAATGCCCATACAAGGCAACTCTTCATCTACTGTTGAGTGTGAAAAACTCGGCAGCTTTTGTAATTTATCACCATGTGAGCACAGCAAAAATATAACACTACCACAGCCTCCTTTCAAGTTGGGCTTTTTACTGAATTGTTTGGCAGGGTGTGCAATCATCACATCAGGGGCTGCATGGCAAAAGGAGCTTAAGTAGCAGAGACTGACTCCACATATCTACCACATATGCACACCATCATCACAGCTTGTCATGGATTTGCAGCAGATCTTTCCCATGGCCTGTTGCAACAAGACTTTTTCCTCTATTTTATGATACTTATGAATACAGAGAGAGAAATGAGGGACCAAAAATTATGAAAGAAGCTTGCTCCTTGGCCAGTTAACAGCACACCTCTGGCGAAGGGAGGTGGTGGTTTAAAGATAGAAATGTGATGGTACATGATGTTACCATGTGTACATCCAAGGAAACGCACTCAGAAAGGTAATCTTGCAAACTTATGATTTAAACCATTACAGAAACACCACATTTAGCAGATTCCAGGCACACAGAGTTTCTTCCAAATCAAGCAACTATTTTGCAATGTGTTGGAAAACAAGTTTTCAGCAAACGAGTAAGTGAGCAGCACAAACTTAGGGGTTACGCTATACTGAAAAGCAGTTCTCTTTACTGAACAGTTTTCCAAGACCTTTCCAAAATGTTGTTTCTGGATGTCTAACATGCCTCCCCAGCCTGTTTCTCCTCACCTTGGCCAAGTTCATACTTTAAGTACAGCTAACTGCAAAAATAGATAAACTTTCAGGAGCAGTTTGCTGCGAGGTGGGGGGTGGGTATTTCTTTAAAAGACTCCAGTACACAGCCTAGCCCTTCACTGCAGCTCAGTAAGCAAGCCAGAAGTAGTTTATGGTCTGAGATGTTACTGTTGGAGTTGCTCCCATGTGAGAAATCGGGCTGGGGTAAGGTGGGGTGGTGGAGAAGCAGGAGGCAAACACTGCCAGTGTGCGGGGCCACCATTTCAGCCTTGTGCTCTGCCTGTTCCCTGTAGCACACATGGGCTTGTGTCATCTTTAAAGGAGTTTTATGACTTCCTCTGAACCAACTACCAAAGGAATCCCAGACTGTAATGCCGAGCCCTAATCCGATTTCACACTAGACTTGCCTTCTAATTATCACAGAATATTAGGCTTCCACCCATCATATATAATTGACATGCTACTGAGGCTTTACAAAACCCCCAACAAAGATGACAAGAAACACTAGCATCACCCCTGAGCACAGCTCCACTGCTCCGGCCCCACATTAACAAGAGGCAAGAAGAAGAAAGAAAAGCGTGAGCTTGTGATCGACTCCAGTGGAGTCATTGAAACAGACATGGCTACCGAACTGTCCACTCAATCTGATCACCTTCAATTTACCCAGAATACAAAAAAATGCCTAGTTTTCCTGGCTACAGAATGATCTGGGGATGCTCAACACCCCTGGGAATGGACCATCTTCAGTGGTGCT